TCATGTGAGGAGTTTAAGGTTTATTACGCAAGTAGGCATTTATGAGGACCCCTGGTGTAGTGATTTGCAAACTGCCTGATCAGAGGATCCTTGAAGAAAAGATGAGGCTTTTGACTCCCATAAAACAGTTGCAATTTCTGAAACTCAGATGGCAGTGAGTTTTTTTGAGGCATGTATGAGCATTGAGTTGTCATTTATAATGTATATATCTTGTGATACTACTGTAGATACCATAGCAATGGAAGAGGCTACTGGCCAAAAAGGCCACCAAAGAGAAGAGGTGATGACATTAAAAAATATAAATAAAATTAACTTAGATTGTGGCTTACATTTCAGATAATCAACCATGCATTCCACAGCCTAAATTACTAATCAAATACCCCAAGGGGTACCCATTCAAAAGAATAATGCTGTGTTACTCTCCATTGAGCCAGATAATGGCCATTGGTTTTGCATACGTGGCCTTTGTCATGTTGAGAAATTTCCCTTTTCTTCTTTTTTTGTTGAGTTTTTTTAAATTCAGGAATGGGTGTTGATGTTATCAAATTCCTGTTCTATATTGGTTGATATGATCATATATTTCTTATGTTTTTGTCTATGTGCTTGAATACATTGGTTATTTTTCTAATGTTAAACTATCGTTGTATACCTGGTATGAATCCCATTGAACCATGGTGTATTATTTTTTTGATATGTTGTAAGATTCTATTGGTCAGTATTTTATTGAAGAATTTTGCACCTATATTTATGAGGGCTGTTAGTCTATAGTTTTATATCTTGGCTATGTCTTTGCCTGGTTTTGGTATCAGGACTGTGTACATTTCATAGAATGAGTTCCGGTGTTTGCTGTCTGTCCTTTTTCAGCTCTGGAATAATTTGTTTGTAGAATTGATGTCAACTTTTCTCCGAGTACGAGGTAGAATTCTCCTATGAACCCATCAAGTCTTGGATGTTTTCCTGTTGGAAGAATTTTAATGACTGATCTGTTTTTTTTCTTTTGTTATCCACCTGTTGAGGTGCTCTACATCAGTCTGTGTTAATATGAGTAGGTAATATATTTCTAGAAATATATCCATTTTATCTAGGTTTTGGAAATTGGTGG